TGCTCTCTTGTAGGGAAGAGAGTTGCGTGGGACATTTGGGAGCACAACCTTTCTGAAGATGTCCCCCAGAAAATTCACATATTATTTAATCTGCTAAGAATAGGGTTTAGATAAGTCCAGATTTGTACTTTTAGTTCCAGTGGTATATTTTCAACACTATGTGGAAACCTCACGTAACTTGTAAACCATGCTTAGCAAGGCAGATAAGCTGAGTGATGAACAGGCAAACTCATCAACTATCCTTCAAGTTGGAGTCAGGGCTGAGCCCCTACAAACCTTAATTGGGACAGAGACATGGCTGTGCATTGTCATCTACAGCAGCCTGGAGAGTTCTCCTACACTTTCCAGGACACAGCTCATGTCAAATTAGGATTTTTGGCTTGTGGTATAGTTTAAAATCTTTTAATGAAAACTTAATCATAAGAGATAAGAGAAAGAGAGCTCCTCAAAGAGAGAGTAAGAAATGGAGGCGATAGAGCTTCCCAGTGAGAAGTGATTTTTAAGCATAGCTTGGGATGTCCTCTATTTTGTTTTGATCTTAAACTAGGCCATAAACGCCACCTTTTATTGGAACAGTGATCTACCTCCTCTTGGAGATAAAGAATGAAGAGGCCAGGTCATAGGGTGATAGGCAAAATACGAAGCTGAAAATAGCCACATTTCTTTACTGCTGAACAAATCAAGGGAATTTAGAGCCAAGAAAGCTTTCACCAAAATCCACATAAGGAAATAATACTGGCAGTTTGGATAGAGGGGATCCATATTGGTACCTGTCTCATTCAGTGAAAAGTGGATTTTTTGGGGGGGTTTCCACATCTAGGCACCATAACTGCTGGCACAAAACAGAAATTTCACCACAAAGGGTAGGATACAGTTTATTCTAAATATGAGTAACCATGGTCCAGAAACACAGATTCAGTTAACAGTAAATTTCATGTTCCCATGTGGTAACAATTTCATGAAGTGTTATGGTAACAAAGGAAGTCAAAAACCATGGGACTCTTAAAACACATTGGTGGACCACCTCAGAAATATCTGGTAGATATCCAGAGATAGTTACTATGTGATGATCAGCGTTTTGATTGGTGTGAGTTACTAGTCTGTTCAATTAATATATCCCCAAATTTTCACTTTAGGTCATATACAAAGGTAGGTTATTAGTGACTATGAAGGGCACTAAAGTTCATCTGTATCTGGCCCTGGGCCTGAAGCACTTTAACCTCTCCACAATCATTGCAGTTCTAATCAGTTAATCAGCCTTGCAGAAGAGTCATAGAGGAAAGTTCTTTACAGAGACACCCATTCACTAGCACATTGAGGAAATCTCTATTGACATTTGTGCAACCATAGAAAGTTTGTTTTTCCCTGTCTTGGCACTGCAGAGTTACAGCAGATAAAATCTTGTAAACTCAGTATAATTCCTAAAATTGTTTTGGTGAAAACAATCTTCTCCCAGAGTTCCTGAAAACCAAGCAACACTCTAGCCACTTCATTTCTTTCATTTCTGCCTTTATTTTTGAAAATATTGTTAAAATTAGTAATCTTTGCATACCTGATTGAAAGTCAATCTCTTTCTCTCTCTGTCTCTCTCTCTGTCTCTCTCTGTCTCTGTCTCTCTCTCTCTCTGTGTGTGTGTGTGTGTTTGTATGTGTGTCTATGAGTGTGTCTGTGTCTGTATATGAATGCTTACCTTCAGTCTCTATCTAGGGTGGCTTGAAAAGTTGCTAATACCAAATGAAATCCCTTTCTGGGAGACAAACTCCTTCTCTGTTTGCATTTAGCATCTACTCTTTTCCTTCCTGGACAAGGTTCAGTTCCTTAGAATTCATTATCTCAGTGGTTTAATAATGAATGGAGAGTCACAAATGTCTTTTGAATTTCTTCATTCTGGCAGGATAGTTCCATTTCCCTACTCTTGGTTTCTACAATTCAGCCTTGCGAAATATACCTCAACAACAAATGTTGCAAATAACAAGAACAAGAACATTGTTAGAGTATATTCAGTTAGTATTTGATCTTTATATATTAAACTTACATGCCTTTAATACTGGTAATTTTTACATCATATGTAAATTCTAGACACACAGCTCTACATATTTCTATAGAGATTTGAAGATACATAGATAATAAAATGTACTGAATCAATTTTTAAAACTTTTATTTTTAATCATGTGTATGTATCTGTGTATTGGCATGTCCATATGATTTCAGGGAACTGCAGAGGCCAAGGCATCAATAGCTCTTGCAGCTGGAGGTACAGGTGGTTGAGCCACCTGATATGGGCTATCAGAACCAAAGTTTGGCCCTGTGTAAAAATTATCAGTGCTCTTAACCACTGAGTCACCCTCCCTCCCTCAAATCACTTAAAAATACTTGCTTTTTAATCATCTTTTCAACCACTTGCAAAGGGAAAGTCAATTCTTCAATGTAGCCTCACTGGGTATATAAATCACTCTTAAGGCCAGGCTCCATACCCAGTAGTAGATGGCCACCACAAAAATGGGCTCAATGTTGTTCTTCTGGAACTTTTTGTCTCAGAAAACTTTTTTGAGGTATTTTTGTATTACTTGTGTTTTGCTTGTATATTGGTTTCTGATTTTGTGCTTTTAAGCAGTCTGTGTGTATTTCTTCAGCTTTTTCAATTTTTAAAAAAGGTTCTGGCTTTTTTTTAAATATTTGCCTGGATTTAAAAAGGCATGGATTTAGATGGATGGGAGGTAGGGAGGATCAAGGAGGAGATGGAGAGGGGAAATTACCACCAGAGTGTATTGTAGGAATTTTCAATATAAAACATGTAAATGTATTTAAAATTATTGAAATGTATCCCCTGATTGTTTAAGAGGGTTTACTTCATGTCTCATATATTTCTTCAAACACCTAAAATCATGGTCATTTACAATAATTTAATATATGTTAATACTTAGATAAGTCCAATGTCTAACAAAACTAATAGCACACATAGAGTATTCAATAGTTTTCTTATTTATAATTTGTTGAATAGTATGTGTTTATGTTTGTGGGGGTGAGGGGTGTAGCCATGTATATGAATAATTTCTACCACTTAGTCTCAGGGATCCAATTCAAGTTGTTAAAGTTGGAAGCAAGTGTTGTAGGAAGGCTGCTTGCTCTTCCTGGCTTCTCAGTCCCAAAATAACCACGCAGAAACTTTATGAATTAAATCGCTGCTTGGCCTATTAGCTCTAACTTCTGATCTGCCAGCTCTTACATATTTATATAACCAAATTTATTAATCTGGGTATTGCCACGAGGCTGAGGCTTACGGGATAATGTTCATATATCAGTCTGCAGCAGGGCTCCATGTTTTTTCTCTGACACTGCCTTCTTTCTCCCAGCATTCAGTTTAATGCTGAATGCGAGGTGGGGAACCACCTAGCACTATTCTTCCCTATTATGAACTCAAGACAGTTTCTTTATTAACTAATGATATTCATAGCATACAGAGGGAATACCACATCAACTGCCTTTACCATGAAACAAACTTTATAATGTATAAATTATGCTTTAAAGATAACTCTTTTCCCATCTAATTGACAGGAAACCAATATTCTAAGTTTAATTGTTTTAAATATAAAGCAGAGAAAATTTCTTATAAACAGTACTTTTGCTTAGTCAACCTAATTATATATAATTCTCTTCTTTTAAGAATTACTGGTTATAAGCCTTATCAATTTTTTCTATATTTCAGACAACTAGTCAATGGCATTTATAGATATAGACATTGTTCATTCAGTAGAAGCTTATCTGAAAACTGAAAAGTAAACAAACTTCAAAAATTTTGTCATGCTACATATGTCATTTTGCGCAGATCATTTTATATGTTTATATACATATACAATTCTACAGATATTATAAGAACATTTTCTATTGCAAACACAAATATTCTTTTTAATGATACAATGCAACAGAAACCCTAAAACCTAGCACTGCACTTTTGTGATAATAGTTTTACCTTGGTAATATTATGATAGGTACACCAAGCTAGATGTTAAAATATCGGCTCATGACTTTATTTACCAAAAAATATATATATTATTAATTTAACAATTACCTCATGTCAATACAGATGAAATACATGTCAATACAGACAAGATATATGACTATATATAGACAAAAGCCCCAAATTCATGAAAAGTAAGCTCTATACAAAGGCTGAATCTGCAATTAACCTTTCAAATTCACCTCTTACGTTTGCCAAACAGAAATCATTTTAGTAATTACATTCCTTCCATTTATTTTCCTGAGATATAAAATTTTGGTCCTCTGAAGCACTGACTTAGAGAAGGAAAGGGTTTGTTTTGCCTGATACTTCCAGTGGATAGAGTTTGTTATAATGGTGAAGGCATTGCACCAGGAGAATGAGACTCACACACTGGGAATGGGAAGGCCACCAGACCATATGTCATGTTCACACAGGAAGCTGAGAGAGAAAACGGGAAGTATGGTCAAGGGAGGGTGTGTCTCTTAAAGGACTCCTGAAGGACTCCAAAGTATTCATATACAGACACAGACACACTCATAGACACACTCACACACACACAGAGAGAGAGAGAGAGAGAGAGAGAGAGAGAGAGAGAGAGAGAGAGAGAGAGACAGAGAGAGACAGAGAGAGACAGAGAGAGACAGAGAGAGAGAGATTGACTTTCAATCAGGTATGCAAAGATTAGCAATTTTAACAGTATTTTCAAAAATAAATGCAGAAATGAAAGAAATGAGGTGGCTAGAGTGTTGTCTGATATTCAGGAACTCTGGGAGAAGATTGTTTTCACCAAAACAATTTTAGGAATAATCCTTAGTTTACAAGATTTTATCTGCTGTAACTCTGGTGTGCCAAGACAGGGAAAAATATACTTTCTATGGTTGCATAAATGTTCCTCAGAATATCAGTGGATGGAATCATTTCTGATCTATGGGAACACTCAGGATGTCCAGATAGAAAAATAGCCACCTAAGCATTGTTGATGAGCCAATACCAGGTAAATATGGGTCACATCATCTTTATGTATACAAGGACAAAATACATGTGAGATTGGTACTAAACATGTAGCTGATAGCTGGTCTATGATGCTATTCTTCTGTTTAGTTCCACTTCTTTCATATATATGCAAGCAGGCATGGGAAATGGAATTCAACTGACTACATATTAAATGAGTTAATGTTCTTTTTGCTTATTTTTTTTCAACCTAAAGTAACGCTGAGGGTGGTAGATTTTTCTGTAATACCATGTCATCCTCAGATGATTATCTCTAAAATTGAAAAGGATGCTGCCTTAAGTTCACATGATAAACTTGAACTTTTGATCATTTACTCTGGACTCTCACTTGTGATCAAATTAAATAAATCTATTTAATTTGGTCACATTGAGTAAATACCCTTTTTATGTTTTGCATGTTTCATTTAATACTTTTTATTGGTTTCTATAGGTAGGGTACTCATACCTGACGTGGAGCACAGGTGGTGACCACAAGTTCAATAACACATTGTCTTCCAATCCAGAGAAACCTTTGAAGATTTTCCATCATCCATCTTCCCCTCATGAACAATGGAAAGAGGGCTTTTGGATTGATCCCTCTTATTGATGGAGAACTCAATTCCTTCTTGTTTCTAGACCTACCTCTGTAATGAAAAAGACTTTAATATCCTGTAACCTGATAAACCTTCCTAAATTTTGTGTGGAAAATTTTAGCCTATATTTTCAGGAACAACCATCCAAAAAAGAAAAAAAAACCCTCTGGAGTAAATATTGACCCTCATGTATCACAGAAGCCAGTGAACTTCTAATGATGACATGAGTCTGGGAGGAAACTGGGTCCCTCATGGGTTATATTTTGGATAATTCCTGTAAACGTCAGGAGGGAACTTTTCATCTCCAAATTCATGTGTGGAGTAGGGTAGGTATAGAGTAGGTGCATGGACCTTTTCACCAGGTGACAGCCATCCATGTGCTTTGCCACGTCTCCTGAATGTCAAGATTAGGAGCGCATAGGGAATTAAATCTGAATGTTGGAAGAAGTCTGTGAAAGTCTGAGAGTAGTGGATACAGTACTGTTTCCAGAAGATACTGCACTGTTTTTGGTTGTTTGACAAAGGTCTGAGATTCTTTGAGCATACCATGATAAGATGGTTGTTGGATAATCAGTGGTAATCAGAGCATAGAGAGGGGAATTCCACATCATAAGACCTTCTATTTTGGTGCACAGTTCATAGGTTGACCCTTCAGGCATGAATGAACTCAAGGAGACAAAGGTTGGCTCCTAGAAAAAGACCTTTCAGCTTCTTTGTTAAAGAGTTACCAGATAAGTTGCCTCAAGCCTGTGATATCCTAAACCTATGCCTTGTACAAGCAACCCATTCATCCATATCCAAGCTGACATATTGTTTTCGTTATTTTAAAACTTTAAGGCCTTGCCTTATTTAAATGTTCACTGTAGCATGGTTTGTCTGTGGCACCTTGTATGAGGGTGGTAGTGAGAAGATTCACTTTTGAGACAACATTGAACACTAGAGATCAGGTGGAAGAGAAGAGAATAGAGTTACTCCATTGTCCAAAAATAAATGAGGAATGATGGTTATATATTATGTTCACAAAATGTTTGTGTAATTTTTGAATGGGAAAGAGACTTATTCTTTATAATAACCAATGGACTTAGAAAAAGGAAGGGATAATTTATGGGTCAAAATTTCCATCATGAGTCACAATGAATGTTGTCCCAAAGGTTTTGCATGAAACTTGATCTTGAGTTTCACTGATTTCCTGGGTCATGCTGAGGCCCCCAACATTTTTATATCTATCATATTTAGAGTGTTGTGATTAGGTTGTGTTCTGATCCGATACCACATAACTTGTAAAATAATAATTTTGTTGTTATTTTTGTTGCCTAGAAAGACTTTATTTCACAAGGAGGTTTTACTCAAAATGGATCCAGAATAAACTAATTATTATTTACTTTAAGATGAGATCCCTGAAATTTGTACCCAGATCAACAACATCAATGGCCAACACAGAGAGAGAACTCCTAAAAATCCCAAGGGTCTCAGATTGACTCAAGTATCTGAAAATATAAAATATTTACTATTTTCCATTCAAACTTGCTTGTAGGGTTTGCTTCTTGGTAACTATGTATTACCTGGTGCTGGGTCAGAGGTCAAGATCCACTGATAATATATAAGTCATAGAAATTGTCTCTATCCTGCTTATCTCGTGTGTGAGTCTAGTGAGCCATCCCTTTCCACCCGACTTCCAAGAGGACCACTTAGAGGCGGGGCAAGATAAGATAGCTGTAGACCTTCCAACAGGAGAGTCTTTAAGTCCTATTTGTGTGTGGCTGCCCCAGAAGCACAGTTCTAACTCTTATACTCTCTTGTTACTAATTCCAAATGTCCATTTCAACAGTCCAGAAGTACTTCCATGGCTACAACAGGAGGAAGGAAGAAACTTGAAGGCACACACACCCTTGTGGTGTGAATTATGACTTAAACAGCATTTTAATTAATTATTTCATTTTATATATAATTTAAAAATAGAAATAGTCATTATTCCTTCAGAAATCTTTATGAACTCATAAGTTCCATAACCCTAACATCAATTTGGGGGTCCAGCAGTCTAGGAATTTGATTCAGTTTCCTTATTCCAACTCTTCCCCTCTTTTCTCAGTTGCCTTCAGCCTATCTCCTCTGGTGTGTGGAGTGAGTTTGAGGTGCATTTCACCCCTTCTTCTTTTCTTTACACTTTCCTTCTCCAGAATCACAATCTGGGGACAGCAAAGAGCTGGTGACTGACTGGGGATAGCGTGAGGCTCATTCTGAACTTCAGGCTCAGCTTTCGATTGACTGGGGTCTTGAAGGTAAAGTTTTGCAAAAGAGCAGTGAAAGAAATGAACAGATCAGGCCTGGCCAATTGTTCTCCCAGGCAGTCTCTCCTTGTGAGACAAAAAGAGAAGTCAGCTGACTTTGTTGCACCATAGGGACTGGTGTTCCCAGAAATCTACTGTAAATACTGAGCTGACCTTGAGCTTTGTGTCCAGCTGATTCTGTCTAACATCTTCCTGATTTGCCCACTAGAGCCCCATTCAAGGTGGCATTTCCTGACCTTGGCCCAACAATATGTCCCAGACTTGTGCTTTTGCTTCCCCAGCCCAGGAAACTGTTATTTTCTCAGGTGTCCTGGTCCCGTGCAATGAATAATTTGTAGACGGAAAGTCCTGAGTTGGGAGCATTCTCACAACCCAGTAAGCCCTTGCTTTAGGTCACCTCACGTCACACACATGTCACATGGTATATATATATCTAGGTGTGTGTATGGATATATACATTTCTGTCTACTTATCTACAATCTGTATCTCTCTTGAATATCTGACTTCATATGCGTAATCTCTGTGGATAATCTCTGATGATCCAAGACAACCCTTGCGTACCAAAAAAATTCTCAGAACAACATTCAGATTAAACTACAATTATTATTTGGACATGCTTTCCACTGCCCTTATGTGGTTTCCAACAAGAACATCATAGCAGGAATGATAACACATGACACTCTCTGCAGGATAATGTATAAGAAACTGCATTAGTTTTTACTGACATTAACAATTGAGAAATTTCTGATGGTCACCTGTTTCCACTTTGTTACCTGCCTAATGCAGGTTGCTGAGGAGACCAAACAAAAGCAGATATCAAAAGCTGCATAGAAAACATAAATGTGTTATGATGATGTCTGTATCTCATGTAACATCTGTGTTTTTTGCCAACATGTCTCATTCATCTGTGTTCTCCACATGCTCCTCCTGTTGCCTGCCATGAATATCACGGCAACAGTTCATTAAATCCTCAAGATTCTCCTGTAAGAATCCACATACCATGACATGCAAACTTCAGACTCAGGGTTACTAACCTGACCTGTCTGCACTTCCCTATGTGACTATGATGAAACCACTCCTTGTCAAGAAGCTAAGCCTTCCTCATGTGGCAGTTTTGTGAAACAGTCTCTTTTTTTCCATCTGTAAATGACTGGGCAGGTGTGAATTAGTTGTTCATCATGGTGCATGTGATTTAAAGCTTGGCATATGTGAAGGATAATCTTGATTACTGTGATGGTTGATTGAGAATGTCCCACATAGACCCATGCATTCGAATGCTTAGTCACCAGGGAAGGAAACTCTTTTGGGAAAAATTAGGAGGTGTGGTCTTGATGGAGGATGTGTGTCACTGGGAGTGGGCCTTTATGTTTCCAAAACTGCATCAGTCCAATTTCTCTCTCTCTCTCTCTCTCTCTCTCTCTCTCTCTCTCTCTCTCTGTCTCTCTCTCTCTCTCTCTCTGTTTTCCTGCAGATCAGGAAGTAAAGCTCTCAGATACTTTCCCAGGGCCATGCCTGTGTGCTTTTTGCCATGCTGAACATGGACTAATTCTCTAAAACTGTAAGCAAGCTTGTAATTAAGTGCTTTCTTTTGTAAGATTTGCCTTGCTTTGTAGATTATCTCATGGAAAATCATGAACTCTACACCAGCAGCTGTGGAGCCTACATGGGACCCAAACAAGGTTCTCTGCATGTGGCATACAGTTGTGTAGCTTGGTCTATTTGAGGGGATCCTGGCAGTCAGACCAGGATCTATCCGTGGTACACAAGCCAGCCTCTTGGAGCCCATTCACTATGGAGCGATGTCATGCTCAGCATTGATGTAGTGGGAAGTGACTTGGTCCTGCCTCAACTTAATGTGCCAGGCTTTGTTTACTGTCCATGGGAGCCTTGCCCTTAGGGAAGAGTGGATGAAGGGTGGTCCTGGGGGAGGTGATGGGGGGAAAGGGGTGGGAGGGGTGGGAGGGAGAACTGCGGTTGGAATGTAAAATGAATGATAAACAAATAAATAAAGTGTTGCCTTGATCATGGTGTGTCTTCACAGTAACAGAATAGTAGTAAAGTCAGTGACCATCTTGACTGAGAGATGCCTAGAAAATCCAAGTGTGTCTGTGAGGTTATTTAAGAGATGCCTGGCATGAGGGTCATTGAAGTGAGAAGAAAGACCTGTCCTGAGCAGGGCTGACAGCATCCAGTTGGTCAGCCTTTGACGCTTGGTAAGCCTGACTGTGAGGCCCTGTCCTCCCTGTTCCTTGAGACCAAAACACAGGATGCAAGAAATGTTTATGCTAACCAGCTAAGCTTCCTGCTAAATTCCTTGCTTGCTTCTCCTACAGCCTGGTACAATAGCCTGAGGGGTCTATTTTACTTTAAAATGGTAATTTCTCAACCTGCCTGAAAGAAGCTCAGGCGCCAAGGCCCATCTACCCTGTCTGACACTGCCTTGCACCCTCGATCACCTGCCTGAGGAGAAGCTCTCACAGGCTCCAGTTTCCCCAGCCCCCTCTGGGTGGGAGGAGTTTTTCTTTACTGGGGCCAAAAGTATTTAACCCTGGATTAAGTTGAATAAATTGGGCATTCTCTTCCTGAGGATGACTCGAACTCTGTACTTGTGTGTGTGTCTTGTGTTTTAACCCCTAGGAAATATAGAACTCATGGGAGGTGGGTGGGGTGGAACGGTGACCCCCACAGATGGAGGCCCCGTTGGGATGTGAAGAAGAAGCATCCACGAGTTTCTGGAAAAGTAAAAAACCTATAGGGTCACCC